GATCGCATATGCTTGCAGACTGCATATGCTTGCAGACTGCATATGCTTGCAGACTGCATATGCTTGCAGATCGCATATGCTTGCAGACCGCATATGCTTGCAGATCACATATGCTTGCAGATCGCATATGGCATATGCTTGCAGATCGCATATGGCATATGCTTGCAGATCGCATATGCTTGCAGATCACATATGCTTGCAGATCGCAAATGCTTGCAGATCGCATATGCTTGCAGACAGCATATGCTTGCAGATCGCATATGCTTGCAGATCGCATATGCTTGCAGATCGCATATGGCATATGCTTGCAGATCGCATATCCTTGCATATTGCATATTGCCCATGCTTGCATATGCAATATCCTTGCATATTGCGCATGCTTGCATATTGCGCATGCTTGCATATTCCAAATGCTAGCATATTCCAAATGCTTGCATATTGCAAATGCTTGCAGATAGCATATGCATGCAGATTGCATATGCTTGCAGATTGCATATATGGCGCAGATCGCATCTGCTTGCAGACTGCATCTGCTTGCAGACTGCATCTGCTTGCAGACTGCATCTGCTTGCAGACTGCATCTGCTTGCAGATCGCATATATGCTTGCAGATCGCATATGCTTGCAGACTGCATCTCTTTGCAGATCGCATATGCTTGCAGATCGCATTTGCTTGCAGATTGCATATGCTTGCAAATCGCATATGCTTGCAAATGGCATATGCTTGTAGGTCGCATATGCTTGCAGACTGCATATGCTTGCAGACTGCATATGCTTGCAGACTGCATATGCTTGCAGACTGCATATGCTTGCAGATTGCATATGCTTGCAGACCGCATATGCTTGCAGATCACATATGCTTGCAGATCGCATATGGCATATGCTTGCAGATCGCATATGCTTGCAGATCACATATGCTTGCAGATAGCATATGCTTGCAGAATCGCATATGTTTGCAGACAGCATATGCTTGCAGATCGCATATGCTTGCAGACAGCATATGCTTGCAGATCGCATATGCTTGCAGATCGCATATGTTGCAGTTCGCATATGGCATATGGCAGTTGGCATATGCTTGCAGATCGCATATGGCATATGCTTGCAGATCGCATATGGCATATGCCTGCAGGTCGCATATGCTTGCAGATCGCATATGCTTATAGATCACAGCACAGCATAGCATAGCATAGCATACCATAGCATAGCGCAGCATAGCATAGCATAGCATAGCATAGCATAGCATAGCATAGCATAGCGCAGCATAGCATAGCATAGCATAACATAGCGCAGCATAGCATAGCATAGCATAGCGCAGCATAGCATAACACAGCACAGCATAGCATAGCATATCATAGCATAGCGCAGCATAGCATAGCATAGCATAGCGCAGCATAGCGCAGCATAGCGCAGCATAGCGTAGCATAGCGTAGCATAGCATAGCATAGCATATCGCACATGCTTGCAGATCGCAAATGCTATGCTTGCAGACCGCATAACGCATATGCTTGCAGATCGCATATCGCATATGCTTGCAGATCGCATATGCTTGCAGATCGCAAATGCTTGCATTTGGCAGACTTGCATGCTTGCACAATGCAGATCGCATATCGCATATGCTTGCAGATCGCATATGCTTGCAGATCGCAAATGCTTGCATTTGGCAGACTTGCATGCTTGCACAATGCAGATGCATGCGCATATGCTTAGCATATCGCATATGTATTGCATATCGCATATTGCATATCGCATATCGCATATTGCATATTGCATATCGCATATTGCATATTGCATATCGCATATTGCCTATTGCATATTGCATATCGCATATTGCATATTGCATATCGCATATCGCATATTGCATATTGCATATCGCATATCGCCTATTGCATATTGCATATCGCATATTGCATATTGCATATCGCATATTGCATATTGCATATCGCATATTGCATATTGCATATCGCATATTGCATATTGCATATCGCATATAGCATATTGCATACGCATATGCATAGCATAGCGCTGCATAGCATATGCAGATCGCATAGCATAGCGCAGCATAGCACAGCATAGCATAGCATAGCATAGCATAGCATAGCATAGCATAGCATAGCATAGCATAGCATAGCGCAGCATAGCATAGCATAGCATAACATAGCGCAGCATAGCATAGCATAGCATAGCGCAGCATAGCATAACACAGCACAGCATAGCATAGCATATCATAGCATAGCGCAGCATAGCATAGCATAGCATAGCGCAGCATAGCGCAGCATAGCGTAGCATAGCGTAGCATAGCATAGCATAGCATATCGCACATGCTTGCAGATTGCAGATCGCCTATGCTTGCAGACCGCATAACGCATATGCTTGCAGATCGCATATCGCATATGCTTGCATATCGCATATGCTTGCAGATCGCAAATGCTTGCATTTGGCAGATGCTTGCATTTTGCACATCTTGCAGATGCATATGCGCATATGCTTACATATCGCATATGTTTGCATATCGCATATTGCATATCGCATATGTGCATGCTTGCATATTGCAATATCGCATATTATACATATTGCATATCGCATATTGCCTATTGCATATTGCATATCGCATATTGCATATTGCATATCGCATATCGCATATTGCATATTGCATATCGCATATTGCATATCGCATATTGCATATCGCATATCGCATATTGCATATTGCATATCGCATATTGCATATTGCATATCGCATATCGCCTATTGCATATTGCATATCGCATATTGCATATTGCATATCGCATATTGCATATTGCATATCGCATATTGCATATTGCATATCGCATATTGCATATTGCATATCGCATATTGCATATTGCATATCGCATATTGCATATTGCATATCGCTGCATATGGCATATTGCATATCGCATATGCATATAGATCACAGCACAGCATAGCATAGCATAGCATAGCATAGCATAGCGCAGCATAGCATAGCATAGCATAGCATAGCGCAGCATAGCATAGCATAGCATAACATAGCGCAGCATAGCATAGCATAGCATAGCGCAGCATAGCATAACACAGCACAGCATAGCATAGCATATCATAGCATAGCGCAGCATAGCATAGCATAGCATAGCGCAGCATAGCGCAGCATAGCGTAGCATAGCGTAGCATAGCATAGCATAGCATATCGCACATGCTTGCAGATTGCAGATCGCCTATGCTTGCAGACCGCATAACGCATATGCTTGCAGATCGCATATCGCATATGCTTGCATATCGCATATGCTTGCAGATCGCAAATGCTTGCATTTGGCAGATGCTTGCATTTGGCACATGCTTGCAGATCGCATATGGCATATGCTTGCAGATCGCATATGTTTGCAGATCGCATATGGCACATGCTTGCAGACTGTGTATGCTTGCATAATGCAGATGCATGCGCATATGTATAACATATCGCATATCGTATATTGCATATCGCATATTGCATATCGCATATCGCATATTGCATATTGCATATCGCATATTGCATATTGCATATCGCATATCCCATATCGCTGCATATGGCATATCGCATATCACATACCGCATATCGCATATCGCAAATTGCATGCATATCGCATATCGCATATACATATATGCATATATGCACATATATGAAACATAAAACATAATCGCGGTACGGATCGAACCGGCGACCTTCCGATCTTTACGGCGCTGTCTTAAGCGCGTACGGCACGCTCCCGACCCGAAATTTCCAAAAACGCTCCGGACAGACAACCGGACAACTAGACGCGGGCTGCTTCGCCCGCGAGGGGGCCGTAGTCCCCCGGCTGGGCGGCACGAGTACGACGGTCCGTGCGTATACTACTACACCCGTGTGGGAGTCGAACCCACAAGTGCAAGGGATGCACCCAGTCGTGCGGGCGTGTCGTCAGACGGCTAGAGAGCCGTGCAACGCTGGCATTTAACGCCATCCAGTGGCGAGGCAGACGAAATTCCTGTTGGACGTGTCAGGTGGTGTTGGCTGCGGAGGTCCAACGCTCCTCTAGGTTTCGGGCGTGTTTGTACTCGGTCGTATAGCGTTCACGGGTTTCGGTTGCACGGCGATCCAGGAGGCGGAGTTCGGCCGCCAGGTCGGGGTCCAGCTTGGTTGCTGCCATGAACTGTTTGACGACTCGTGTTCGTTCGTCGGGTGTGGTAGAGAGCGGGCGCAGGAGGCGGATGTGGTCGAGTGTCTTGTAGCGGGTGAGCAACACGTACATGGTTGCACGCTTGAGGCCACCGGGCGGGACGGAAAGGTCCGCGACCCAGCATTCTTCCTTGAAGCTACGGCCCTGTACGAAGTAGTCGGTCACGGCGTAGTAGTCACCAAGCGGTACATTGACTCGACGTACATTTTTGGTGGTGGTGCCGGTGTTGGCGGCTGGCACGGTGATGTTTGCTGCCGGCGAGGGCCGTGGTACGATGGCGAAGGCAGCACCTTTGGTTGCAAAGTCCGCTAAGTCTGCTAGCACCGCTTTGGGCGCGTGCCCTTTAATGGGACGGACCAAGACAGCTGCAGGTAGGTAGTGGAGGCGCCAGTACGGACCGCAGCCGTCGTCGGGCGGTTCACGGCTGTCGGTAAGCAGGCCACATGCCTCGACTTCATTGTTGTGGCACGCGCCGGCGTCGGCAGCAGTGGTGTCGAGTAGGGTGTAGCGTGCACCCTCGTAGTACCAAGTGTCGGCGGTGGTGTGGTCGAAGGTGGCGTCTTTTACTCGCATTGCAACAGCCTTTTCGACGTGGGAGAGTGGCTGTTGTTGGGTTGCGCCATGTTGCCTAACCGGGACGTGGTCCGCGTTCCAGCTGACCAAACGCGCTCCTTTACGGCGCGCCTGGAGCATCAGGAGGCGTGTGTTGAGCGCGTGCCTGGGTTCGTTCCGTTGCAGCACGACACGGGGTTCGAGGTCTGTGAGATCGGACAAATCCGTGATGACGCGTTGGTTGAGTGCGTCTACTAGATCTGCAACACGTGCTTCAGTGGGTTGAATGCCGCCGAACATGGTTGCGAAGCGGGTAAGCTGCTGGCCAGATGGGCTGTTGTCTTGCCGCTGCTGTTTCTGCAGCATGAATACGGTGCCGCCGAGCTGACGGTACAGGTTGAAGCCGTCGTGTAGGCGGGTGTGCGTTTGTGGCACGGGGCGACGAGTGCGACGTGTGGAGGTGGTGGCGCGACGGTTGCCGGTGTCGTCATCAGCATCACTGCCGTCATTGTTGCTGCCGTCAGCATGGTCACCTCCACGTTCGTCAA